AAAAAAAACCCATCTTAATGCCTTCTTCAATCATTTCAATCCCAAACTCAAAAAAAACAACATCTATTACAAGATAATTCTGAACAGAACATAGTGATCGCACTGAACTGATCAGTAAGTCTATCCAACTCATCATTGATGAACACTAGCCGTAGCAGCAGCAGTAGCAGCAGCTTAGCTCAACTCCCATATGTTTTAAACAACATAACCGATTCGTTTGTGTTCATTCATTCATCTATAAGCGCTTCTTCAGTTTGCCCTTAGTCCTGGCGACGATTGTTGTAACGTTTCATTTTTTGTGAGTGTTTTTTCAAAATGAACAATTTTTCATTCCACCTTTGCGGTGCTACTTTTACAATTGTTTGAGCTGAATTATGTTTGATAATCAATTCATTTACTGATTCGTAAGCGTGATTGAATTTCATCAATCCAATGATCTAGTTTAGAATTTCAGTTGAATAACAAAGTTTAATTGGTCAATTTTCCATGAGAAAAACAAATTTACCATTTCAAAAACAAAAACTTAACAATTCATCTCAAAATGTATTCGAAATAATCAATCGCTTCCCAATGATTTCACGTTTTCACGATTTCAACTTCACTGAATCACTTCAGTGTATTCTGTGTAAATTCAATTGGGAATGTAAACGTATTGCGAACTCACATATGAAATGAAAATATTTCGATTGATTTGCTGTGTAAACCTTTGTAAATTATGATTTTACGGCTGAAAAAAAGATTTTATCGTTGTTGCAAAATAAAATTTGATCATTTTACTCATCGCCCATTCACTTTTTCGCACAGCCAAAAGCCGAAAGCATTGAACATTAGCTCAATTATTGATGACGATAATCACCGTCATCATAAAGGCATTTATGAGCAAGAAGAAGGAGTGCACAATAAAAATTTCGTGTCATTCTCAAGAAAAAATTCTTCGACAATATCATTTCAGACCCATATTCTTGCTTAAAGAGTATAATCAGTGCAGTGTTTCGCTGCTTTCGTTGAGAATATCGACACAACTATTCATTATTCACAAATGGATCGGTTACTCACATAAACTTGCATATACCTTATCAATATGGCACAAATATTCCGATCATCGATACTTTGATCAGTGCCAAATGGTTTTGATCACGTTCCCATCGCTCATTTACTGATCTGGTCTAATTGTAGACATTGCAATTGGAATATTCAACCATATCGTATCTTCAATTTTGATTATGTGATGTAAATTATCGGAAGGCGACAATCTGAAGTGAAACTACCATGTTGGTCAATCTGATAACATTACCGTTATCACTGTTCGTCACAACGTTGAGACTGGATATCCGGCTTAACAGCTATGATATATCCCCGAACTCATCGGACTCAGCTTCTCACCTACACCGGACTGATGATCACAGTGAGAGTATCAGTGCGCCAATGAGCACCACCACTAGTGATAGTGCAAATGCTCAGAAGATGTTTCTGTTCGGACTAATCTCATCGAATCGTAATATCACATTTTCATTGTACAAATCTCACTTATTCATCGATAATAAACGCCTATTGATATTACTCATCAATCAAACGTATACAATCGAATTTTATTGCTTAAATGATATGCAACTACAAATCTCAATTCTCAACATTACACATTTATTGCTGTCACCATCGTTATGTCAAACGAATAAACCCAATACAAGTGAGTTCCTTTTTTGGTGCTTTCATCACATCATAATCATACCATTCAGCTTTATTAGTTTACTCCGAGTATTTCAAGTATCACTTCACTATCATTCCAGCTATTATCATTGTTATTTTTATCAATACCACTGTTATCCGTACCATTTTGAAGATTTTATCAGTTTGCATGATTCTACCATTACTATTCTAAAACTTGTGCAAATCCATCTAGTAAAACAGTTCAAAGCAAATTCTCATTCTCATTTTCAAGAATAGCGCGATCAGAGTAATTGAAATGCACTTGATTAAGTTGTTGTTGTAAATCATCTTGAATCACCTCTTTCAATGAGGTAATTTATTCGTTTACGATCTATTGTGCCAGATCTCTTCAATATATCTCTTCAAAAAACGACGCTTTTGTAATGATGTATGAGTTGAACTTTTTCAATTGGGTAAACGACCAGTTGAGATATTTTTATCATTACGTGTGCATACGATAAGACTAAATATATCCACATTTGCTGAAAGACTCATTAATAGATACGTATAAATAAATGAGCGAAAAGGACAACGTTCATATTTTCGATGCTGAAAGATATATTTAACATTATGATGGTAAGGCGAGTGTCAGTGATAATACTATAAATATGATAATAACTTAAGTATGAGTTGTGGTAAAATATCAAATAACGATAGTAATGACAATATTTCAAGTAATGAGAATACCATGAATAGTAGACCAGTAATGAACCAAGCATTATTATTATAAATAAATATTATTTTAAATAACATTATCACCAATAGTTTATCACTTGGCGGTTACTAGAAACCGAATGATTGAATTTCGCATGAGCTACTAATCGATCTTCAGTTGATCTTCAGTTACTAAGCTCGTATACAATTGATCAGCGATATTTTGAAGAGGAGAACGATTGAAACTTACTAAAATAATGAAGCATGATAGTATATCATATTCAATGATAGTACTTTAGTAAATTTATGTGTGGTTGGTCTAGGAAGAATAATTGAACACAGTTTATTAAGGAACACTTTCATTCCTTCCTCTCATTAGTTCGATCTGATGATTGTATGTATCAATTAATCAAGATGTTGTATTAATCAGATACAAATGAAATAATCGTTTTAGGGTTGCAGTTGGGATCGACTCACCGCAAACTTTTTAATGGCTGCATTGAGAATGTCATTTTGGGTTCAGAATATCTTTTGGATCGATGGTGTAGGTGAGTGGAATAAATAATAAATAACATCTCTTAGTGAATGAAGTGATCGTTACTTTTGCTCGTAATTCAATCACTTTCATAATTCTGATAATAATAATAATAGACCATAATTCAATAATAGAAATAATAATAATCGTTATCAAAACTGCCTAAATTTGAACAAATGAACTATTCAAACGATATGATCTATAAAGAGGCAATTATGATCCTCAAGAGTGTAATTCGTCGAAGAATTGCGAATGAATTAATGAATGCGAAATATCAGCAACAATACTGATTACAACAATAAATGTGCTGATAAGGATGATAGCACGAATGATAAAAAGCATATCAACAAACTAAATTCAGTTATGAGAATGCTAAACGGCCGTCACAATCGGATGGACCAAGACCTCCTCCGCCAGGTACGTTTGAAGCACTAAACATGGTCGAGCCAGTTCATTTGGATGAAGGCAGTTCAGTGACAGTACGATGGAAAAACATCTATTCGTTTCAACAACAAAGCGATTTTGATTCATCGAATGATGACATCAGTTTCAGGTCCGTTCTTCGCATCTTTCAAATTCTCAGATTTCCGCATAAATTTCTCGATTTTTCATTTAAAATAACAATATCTTATGAATTTTTGAACTATATTAAGTCTCATATTACTTACAATGAATAATACTGGTTTAATAGTGATGCGCATGTCCATCAGTTTCCTTTGAAAAGTTTTAACAACAATCTAATATTTTTTTTTCACTCAGAGTGCTCGAAGGTCCTCAGCACGGTTCATTGTTAATGGATGGTGTGAAAATAACTCGTTTCACAAAACAAAATATTTTAACCTCATTGGTTACGTATTCACATGATGGCAGCGAAACAACCGAGGACTCTATCGACCTACAGGTGAAATTCGATTGATCGTTCACTTGAACTTGCGATTTTAATCTGATCATTCAGTGTTAATAGAAATGGACTAGCGAATTCGGTACGTACGCAGTTGATCAGATTCTTTTCAAATTTGTTGAATTATTGAAATGCTTCAGGTCGAACAACGTTCTAAATCGATAACATCACCAAGAGACCAATCAGCGTTTCATACGATATCCGTAAGAATCAAACCGATCAATGATGCACCTGAGCTAAAATTAGGTGATCATGCAGATACGCTGAGGATTGCTGAAGGGGGAAGGTTGTTACAAATCGCATTGCATAAACACTTGTTACTATTGCTGTCATGATATGATACATTATTGTTACATGATTATATAATATCACTTATATCACTCATCAGTTTCGTTACCTAATGATTGACTGATGTCAACATCTGCTTACCTTACTATTACAATATCAGAAGGAAATATGGAATATATCGAAAAACGAAGAAAAATAAACATGATCATCCCACGAGATACTATCTACTTTCGATAATGCTATTAATAATAATAGCATTATTGATAGTAATGATATTAGTGTCAAAAATATTCTAAACTGATAACAACAATAATAATACTGACAGTAAAAACAATAACTGTGATAATAATAACAATTATAGCAACTGATGGAATATTTTTAGTAAGCAATATAATAATAAATAACATGAAGACAATTACAATGCTCTAAAGAAAGAATGAAGTTTCAGAATAATATTGAATAAACGGATCATCAACTTGTCAGATGTAGATAGTGATCCAGATTCGGTGCGTGTCTCCGTGTTGTCTTCGGATGGAGTTCACTTGGAATTGTCTAATGGCAATGCCGTTACGCAATTCACTTTGAGAAGCCTTATTAACGAAAGGGTTATGTTTACTGTTGTTATTAGTATTAATGTTATTATTGTTATGGTTATTATTACTGAAGAGATATTTCAATTCCAGGTTCGAATAGTCCATTCAGGTAGAACTTCGAAGAAAGGCTATTTACGATTAATGGCCAATGATGGGGATAAAGAATCTAATGAAATAACGATTCATGTAGTTACGGTACCTATTGAAATACATCTCAAAGTTAATGCGGGTGAGAGAGCCTTTCGATTCTGTTGCTATTATCTTTTTATTAATGTTTTTGTTGTTAGTAATATTATTGTCATAATCGTTATTATTATCATTATGAGGACTGCCCTTATTAACTGTGAAATCATTACAATTGTCGTTTTGTTGTTTTTTGGCATCACATTGGGTCCAGTTATCATGTGGTACTTACCTACCATCGATCAAAAATGACACAAGAAATGTTATACAAATGAACTGATGCTAATTCCAGGCTTGAAAGTGTTGCATCAATCATCTGAACTGATAACATCGCAAAATTTGAGTTTTCAAACGAATCTGGACGATATCCCTGTGCAGTATACAATCGTTGATTTGCCCGAATACGG